GTAAGAAATGTATACGACTTAATGGACCGAAACATTTCTTACCTAATTTAATATTTTCATTTATATCTTCACTTGTTCATTCTTTTCATTTACTTCATCACCTCTTTTTACTTTTTTAGTCGCAATTTTGCTTACCCTTAAATATATAATTGATGGTCTGCTAGCGATTCAAGAAAGTTTTGGCGGTTTAGGCAGAAAATGGGCTTAGATCGTGGGCTTTTTTGGCGTAGTGTGGTACCACAGCAATTGGAGTTTCACTGTAAAAAAATTTTTAGTTCGTTGCGCAAGAAGCATATGAATGTGCCCGTGCCGTATACGCGCATGCTCTGCTCGTTTTTCCAACAAAAAAAAGCATCTGGTTTGCTGCAGCGCATTTTGAACGAAGCCACGGAACTACGTGAGTATTTCGTAGAATTATATAATTTTGCCTTATATGTTCTGTAATCGTTCATTTTAGCTGATTTTGGACATTTTTCAAAAGTATAAACGTGATATTTTTAGGGAAAGCTACGATAATTTGTTGAAAAAAGCAGTGGAAAAGTGCCCGAAAGCTGAAACTCTGTGGTTGATGTACGCGAAGAGTAAGTGGATGGCTGGTGATGTGACTGCTTCTCGTGAAATTCTTGCCAGAGCCTTTCAGGTAAGCATTATTTTTTTTTTTTTTTGATTACTGATGAGCAAAAGTTACTTATGTAATGAGCTTGCTGTAGTATCATAAAAAAAGTCTTCAAGACACTTTTGTTCAGCTCCAGCTTCACCGATGTGCTTTTCTTGTAATTTGACAGCCATCTGAAAACAGCGTGCTTTTGGAACACCTTTTAGGCCCATACCGCCTTTTGTAATGATTCCTAAAATCTCAAAATGGATCTCGTTGTTTTTGAATTCATACAGAACTGTATTTGTATTTTAGCATAATCCAAATTCGGAAGAAATTTGGATGGCTGCTGTAAAATTGGAGTCCGAAAACAACGAATTTCAAAGAGCTCGTAAACTTTTGGAAAAAGCGCGCGAGATCGCGCCGTCACCACGGATATACCTCAAATCTGCACGGTATAGCTACAACTTAAGTCAAGAGCCGCGTTATTTAATGCATACTGGAATCTTCTGATGATGTTTAATATTCATCATTCATTCGAGTTTGTTTGTATTTCAGACTGGAATGGTGCTTGAAGGATTTGATTGAAGCCAAAAAGCTGCTGAAAGAAGCGCTGGATCGATTTTCGGACACTCCAAAGCTGTACCTTATGATGGGTCAAATATTGCAACAGGAGAAGAATTACGCAGAAGCGCGCCGATATTTTTCAGAAGGCGTAAGTAACCGTACATTCAGCTGTTTATTACGCTTTCAACACCCTCTCTTCTTTCTCATCACTTTTTTTTACTTGTTTGTTACAGATAAAAAATTGTCCGACGTTTATCCCGCTGTGGATTTGGTTAAGTCGCTTGGAAGAATCACAAAATCAGATCATTAAAGCCCGATCAAATCTTGAAAAGGCTCGTTTACGTAATCCAAAAAATCCTGAACTTTGGTAATTTTCTTAATCTTTTTTTTGTTCAAATTTATTTCTCATTGGGCCACATATTGTCAGCTCTAGGACGGTTAGAGATGTAAAAGTTGCAAACAAGTGGGGTTTTTTTTTTCACCGGCTCTCCTCGTCGGTTTCTTTACGAAATGTTCTTAATGCATTTCGTCAAAATTCTAGGCTTGAAGCTATTCGAATAGAGGCGCGAGCGGGTCTGAAAGAGCTAGCACAGGAGAGGCTGGCACGAGCTTTACAAGAATGCGAACATTCAGGTATTTCTTTTAGTTTTGAATTTTTTAAGATTGTGAATTAAGCATTCTTTGAAAACTGATGTCTTGCAAAACTGTTTTATTTTTTTGTGAGATTCGGCTCATTTCTGTTCATAAGTGAAATTCCAAAATGTCGCAGTTGAACTGATTGCCTCCTTTTGAATTGAGGGCGAAAAAATCTCTCATCTACTCAGAATGGAATTTTTTGAAAGTTACTCGGCTCTTTCAGCGAACAACTCGGCAGCTCGTTTAACGTAGGTTTTCTGTAATCCTTTAAATCTGAACACCATTTTGTTTTGGTTCGAGTTA